CTGCTGGTGCAGAATGATCCCTGTGTGTCTCCCAGGTGGAGCTGCATGTCAGAAGGGGGAGGAGGGAGTCCGACTCCAAGATGCGAGGTCGATGCAGGATTGGTGCAGTGCTCTGCGTGCGCTCTGACTGGCGCAGGTTCCTGTGCAGTATCTGATGTAACAAAATCTTTATACAGCTGAGCTTTTTACTGACCTGGTGTAGGTTCAAGGGAGCCACAGCGGTGCCCTTACTGGGATGCGAACCTTTAGCGCCAGTTAGGAGTTTAAAGCTCTAGCTGTACTTCCACACTGCTGCCCACAATCCGTCTCCTCCCACAGTCCTGTCACAGTCCTGTCTGCCCCAAGGCAAACTCCACACTGCATGGCAACAGCAGGAGCGACAGATAAGGTCAGAAAGTTGGTCAATATGTATAAGGTTCATTATATTTGTAAAGTTGCAAAGTATTACGCACAAAGCACAGAGGCATGTCATTGGAGATCATTAACACAGAACGTTTCCCTGGGTCATAGAGAAGTCTGCGATTACTTCAATTGTCCTCAGATACTTAATTGGCTCCCTTGTTATTGTAGAGACCGCCAGTAGTGTGCTCCAAAAGCAAAACAGGAGAACAGGGAAACTGCTGAAAGAGTAGTGTCAGGTCCAGTTCATCCCTACGGAAGAACAACAGTTATTTCACTGTCAAAGAACCATAGAAATATAGAACAATCCAATATGTGCTTCACACAACTGCGTTTAAAAGCAGCCATTCTAATGAGCCATTATCAGTTAACACAGAAGCTTCAGCAGATGTCACGTACCTTAGACCATAACTGTGCTGTTCCTGCCGAGATCTAACCTCCAGCCTGAGCCCATCCCCTCATAATCACCCTGACATTAACCCAACCAGCTTGGAATTTAAATACCCATACGTGGCGTCGATTCTCCACAGACGAGGAGGGAAAGGAGAAAGACGTCACCCCAGGATGCACATCCAGCAGGAACCTGCAGAACTGCGCGCCTCTCCTGGGATTTTCCTAGATCCCATCTCCTCTCACTTCAGCTCAGGAGCGTAGGAAAGGTTACAAACAAGCCACTAACTACCAAATAAGATAGATGGGCTGGTTGGTCCCTCTTCATTCTTAATCTTCTTGATTAAGATAAGATCACTTTATTGGCCATATACAATTTCTTGCATTAGGAATTTGTCTTTTCACAGACCCCAGCTTGCTCTCTATGAGACGCACAGACAGGGACAGAAGCTGGGGGTCAGAGCGCAGGGTCAGCCATTTATACAGCCCCTGGAGCAGCTGGGGTTAAGGGCCTGGCTCAGGGGCCCAACGGAGTAGGATTCCTCTGCCGGCTGCGGGATTCGAACCTTCCAGCTATCCTGATCCTGAGGCACAGAGCCCCGTCACTGCCTGGGAGTCCCAGTGGAAATGAAATTGTGGCGTTGGGCTGTCTGACCAGTGAGTGTGTGGGCTATTTGTCCTGTGTACCAGACTCTTCATACTTCAGCGGTTCTCAGCAGAGGCAGCTCCTAGCAGACAGACTGTCTAAATTGTTGAGGAGTCTGTCCTTTAAACTTGTGTTCGACACCCTGTCCCTCACGCTGCCGTGCTACAGAGAACTCGGCAGGTGTGGCCTGGGGCTCAGCACAGGAGCGTAGCTTAGAGGTCATAGACTGCACACAGCCCCCCCCCTCGCATGCCCAGAGGAAAGTAGACAGCAGCACAAGTTTACGACTGCCTTTCTGTGAGTACAGCTGCAGCACAGGAGGCTCAGTAAATACCGAAGACCCTGCCGCCAAATAGATAATTTATCATTGTTCAGCTTTACGATCCGCAACGTGACTTTCTCCCATGCTCATCCTGATTAATAATTGATATTTAAAAGACAATAACTCCTGCTGGATTAGACTGCACTCCAAGTGAAATTCCTGCAGTGAAAGTTCACACTGACAGCATTTTATTCAGTATTACTATTCAATTCAATGTATTTTTATATAGCGCCTTTCACAACACGTTTGCCCCAAGGCGCTTAACAAAGCGAGTGACCATACATGTTGTGAATACAGAGCAGAAAAGATCATGGAGAAGAGGAACCAAAAACTCTTCTGTAAGGAGAAAAAAAACCTCTAGGGGTCCAAGGTCAACTGGCTGCTCAACCCCTTTGGGCATGCTAAGATTATACCATTGAAAAACAGTTAATAAATGAATGAGGGTATTAATCCATCCATCATGACTTCTGTATGGCAGTACTCCATGCAGTTCTCTGTAGACCTGCAGAATCCTCCTAAACGATAGCTATATCCACGATGCCCCTCTTGGATCCATAGCAGTGACGCAACATCCAACTCAGATGGTGCCCAGTCCAGCACCATCCGGACATGTGGGGAGGAGAATAGGATAGTCTGGTCAGAACAGATGTATCTACCTGGTGGGCCAACACAGAGACACACAGTGGCATATACAGCAGCACCAGCAGCCATGGTTGCAGCAGGCTATGATGTAAGGTGTGAGTAGGCTAGGCTGAAGTAATACATGTTCAGTCTGGATTTGAATATCTATTACTAGTCTAGAAGAGAATAGCTCATAAAAATCCGACAGATTGGCCACGCAGGGCTGCCTCCCTGCTCTTTAGTGATGGTACTAGTGGCAGACAGCAGCAGCAGAGTGGGTTCTGAAGCTCACAGTTCAAATCGGTTTTGCTGACGGAGAAGAAACTGCTCCCATACTTACAGTACTGCGAGGTGCTTCACCCTCCAGCAGGTCAGTGACTCAGAACATACAGCTATGGCAAGTCTGGCTGGGTGAGGTCCCAGCAGCAGTGTGCCCTCTGAAGGAAGCACCACAGTCAGAAATGTAATCAATGTTCGAATATACATTTCTTAACTATAAAACAAAACTAAGGTGGAATCTGTGGCCCCTGTGCTTTTGGAGGGCACTGCCCATCCTCACAGCCCCCCTTTGCTGTTCTGGTGATCTCTAGGATCCCTGGCCCGCATCGCGGATATTAATGGACATATTAGCCATCAATAATGCCAATAAAGAGCTACCAACTGCCTAAATAAAGGTTCACATTTGATTATGTTCTTTACATGTATCATATACATATTTTCAGTGCTCATTATTCAGCAGCAGATGGGTACCATTGATCTCTGGCAGATCTCACTCACAGATGAGCTCCGCTCACAGAACAGCGATAAGCCTGGGAAGGTCACAAGCCCATCCCAGATAGCGCTCAGCACACAGCACCTGTGCAGGGCTCCAGGTGTCACCACTCAGCTCTCCAGACACTGGCTCTTCTTTCCTGGGTGAGAGCTTGTGTTGACTCGGCCCCCCCGATCTTTATCACCTGAGAGCGGGCCAGGCCTGGCATGCTCCCATGGGCTGCAGCGAGAGACAAACAGTGGCCTGGACATAAAAGGGGCGACTGGGTACCGAGCATCAGCAGTCAGAGGGAGCGAGTGAATGAAGTCAGAGCTCTGTGCAGCAGCCCAAGGGTGACCAACAGAGACAGTGAGACTCCAGCCCTGAGACCAAGAGGAAGGACCCAGGCCAGCCCACAAGGTGAGAGCACTGCCTCTGCTAAACATGCCAGTTTCTACTCTCACCGTCTCTCTCTCTGTTGCTGTGATCCCGCACTGTCGCTGCCCAGAGACGAGCCCCCGGTGATCTCGGACTGTCGCTGTCCAGAGACGAGCCCACGGCGATCCAGGGTGATCTCGGACTGTCGCTGTCCAGAGACGAGCCCGCGGTGATCTCGGACTGTCGCTGTCCAGAGACGAGCCCCCGGTGATCCAGGGTGATCTCGGACTGTCGCTGCCCAGAGACGAGCCCCCGGTGATCTCGGACTGTCGCTGTCCAGAGACGAGCCCGCGGCGATCCGGGGTGATCTCGGACTGTCGCTGTCCAGAGACGAGCCGCGGTGATCAATATCGTCTAATGGTTACAGAATGCTGAATGGCTATTTCATAGCCCACAGAGGGAGAATTGGTATTCCTCGCACACAACAGCACTGTCATGTACAGTACAGGAGGGAGGAAAGCCGGCTGTAAATTCACGAGGGTTGATGTCGTCCCCCATCTCCTCTCCTCAGAGCGAACCCCGAGCCCCCCGCCGCCATGGCCTCTCTCACACAGCAGCGACTTCGCCCTCTGTCCCTGGCACTGCAGGTGCTGGCACTGCTGGACGGGCACCTCGCGTGCAGGACGGGCTGGTACACGGCGTGCCAGCAGGCTCCCTTTGTCCCCGGCTACAACCTGGCCGGCGAGGGCTTCGACATTGTCCGGATGCAGCGGAAGGGAGCCTACGTGATCGACGTGAGGACCTTCCTGACGCCCAACCAAACCTGCACCCTCTGCGAGAACCGGCTGCAGGGCGGCCAGCTGCAGAAGCTGCCCCTGTCGGTGCTGGACTGGCGCTTCGGCAGCCAGTGCCGGCAGCAGCTGGCCAGCGCCGTGCACGAGTCCTACGAGGCCGTGGTCAGCAGCTCCACCTCCTCCATCAGCAACCAGTGGGAGGCAGGCCTGGACCTGGACAAGGTGGGCAAGGTGGCCTTGGGTGGGACGCAGTCGCAGATCTCGCACTTCGCCATGTCTCACGCCCGAGCGGACAGGTTCGTCTTCTCCTCCGACGAGTTCAGCTGCAAGTCCTACAGGTGAGGGCCGCCGATTCTGCCCCCCGCTGGACACGTGGAGCTCAGCTCATATCGAGGTCCATTCGCTTCACTCCAGCCCATTACGATCTGGCCGAATTATTAACGCAGCAACAGGCAGGAGGATAGGAAAGACAGGGAGGCAGATACCAACAGCGCTATTACTGAATTTCCAAACCCAGCAGCAGGGCCATGGAAGCACAGGCAGGCGTGTAGCACCGTGTAGGTACTGTACAGGCACGGACAGTGAGGTCAGTAAAACCGAAGGCATGTGTTGGAACGTGCCTGACTGTATGAAAGCGTACTGATGTTCTCCGAAGGCAGCGCATTGCGAACAGCGTTCTGTATCTCTGCTGTTCAGGAAGCTGGTGCTGCTCAGTTCCAGACACGTGCCGAGCTCCTCAGCCAGTCTGGATCAGTCCAGTCCCAGCCGATCGGGACGGGTCTGCCAGATTCTATCACGGAGAAAGGGCAAACCTCTACCCAAAGGCACTGTCGGACTTTTCTGTTTTCATCAAATTATCATTTTTAGCGCACTGATGCCCCCCGCAGGGATTGGGGATACATCCTGGATCTGCAGGAGTCAGGCTGTCCTCTCTCTTCTTTCCCTCCCCCTACACCTGTATTTAGTTGAGCGCCCCCTACAGCTGAGCCCAGAGAACATGCTTCCCACCTCCAGCACCCCTGTGTCTGACACCCCTCTGGCGCCCCAGGGTTTGGTGGGAGAGCAAAGGAAACTCAAGGGCACAAGGCCCCCCATGATAAGGACTCAAACACACCCACTTTCCTGATCGCAGTTACCCAGCAAAGCAGCAGGTTTTAAAACTGCTACACAGGTCTCGCTAGCACCCAGCTGTAGAGGGGGCAGCAGATGAGCTCATCGTCAGGATCAGGACTACATTGAAAAATGGGTTCTTGGGGTACCCAACTCTGTAGGGGCTCTGTACTCAAAGGTGGCGCCCCTACTTAATACCAGGGTAGGCCCCAGTGCAACAGTAACCAAGCCTGAGCTGACAGACCACGTGATCATACAGTAGCTGTGCCTGATACCCACTCACAGGGTATCCTCCTTCGTCCTGCCCCCGGCCGGGCCGATCCCAGCCCGTCGGCCGGTTCTGGGCCACGGACCCAGTCTCCCACTGCGCTCCTGTTGGTTTCCCCGCAGGTTCAGGCTGACGGACCGGCCGCCCCTGAGCACGGACTTCCTGCGGCACCTGCAGGGCCTGCCGCCGCAGTACAACTCCAGTACCAAGGCCGCGTACCAGCGCCTGATCGACACCTACGGCACCCACTACGTGCGGCAGGCGGAGCTGGGCGGCTGGCTGCGCCGCACCACGGCCATCCGCAGCTGCCTGGCCACGCTGAACGGCCACACGGCCTCCTTCGCCAGCGAGTGCCTGAGCGCCCAGCTGGCGCTGCAGCTGGGGCTGGTGGGCGCCTCCGCCTCCTCCGCCCGCTGCCGGGCCGTGCTGGAGAACCACGACTCCAAGATGGGCTTCTCGTCCGGCTTCCTGGCGCACCTGATGGAGGTGCAGGGGGGGCAGCAGTGGCTCCGCGAGGCCCTGCGCTCCGGGGGCGGCCGGCCCTCCTTCACGGACTGGCTCCGCAGCCTGACGGACTTCCCCGACGTCGTCTCCTGCGCCCTGCACCCCCTGCACGAGCTGGTGCGCGAGCCCCGGGTGCGGGAGGCGCTGAAGAGGGCCGTGAGGAGCCACATCCAGGGCCATGCCCTGCAGGAGGGGAGCGCCGCTGCCCAGTCCTGCTCCGGGGTCCCAAACCTGCACTCCAACTGCTGCCCCCTGGAGCCGGGCTGGGGCCGCCTGCGCGTGACCGTGGAGCGGGCCAGCGGGCTGCGCGGAGACCCGGTGGGCCAGACGGAGGGCTACGTGAAGGTGTGGTTCGGCAGCAGGTTCCAGCAGACCCACTTTGTCAAGGAGAACAACAACCCGGTCTGGAACGCCGCCTACGACTTCGGCGCGGGGCACTCGGCCCAGCAGCTGGTCTTCGAGGTCTGGGACAAGGACGTGCAGCACGACGACAAGCTGGGCCGCTGCACGCTCACCCCCCAGCAGGGCTCCCACTCCTCCAGCTGCTCGCTGGCCCAGGGCGGCGTCTTCTACTACTCCTACACCTTCACCTGCGACCCCCACCTGACCGGCCTCAGCTGTCGCACCTACAAGCCCACCCCCTAGTGCAGCGGCAGGGAATGAATAAACCTCCTGAAGCATCCAGCCTGTGTCCACGTGTCCATCTGTTCTCTAATCGCTGTGTCCAGTATGGGTTCGAGGGGCAACCAGAACCCATTCCAGCAAGCTAAGGGCACAAGGGGGGGTGCAGACTGGACAGGATGCCAGTCCATCGCAGGGAACACAGACACACACTCACATCAGGGGCAGTCATCCCAGAAACCAGTTAGCCTACCAGCACGTCTTCGGACTCTGGGAAGAAACCCACACACACACATGGAGAGAATTCGAACTCCCCCCGATATCTCCACAGGTTCGCGAATTGAACCCCAGGGCCCCAGAGCTGCAGGCCAGCAATGCTGATCACTGCACTGTCATGCTGCCGTCTACACGTCGGTGCTCCTTAAAGTGTGTGCAATTTCGTGTTTGTGGTCTGCAGAGCTTTAAAACCCAGTTGTCTAAATGACACGACCTCTCTTCTTCCTTTGTGTTTTAAGTAAAGTTTTAAGATTAAGGCAGGAATCCCAGTTAGTGCACTTCCAAAGAGCCCAAAGAGGATGCAGATGAAATGGCAGAATTCAGACCCTGAGAGCCTCTGCATTAGCTATGCCCATCTCCATGAGGAGTGTGGCTTGTCAGTCCCCTTGAGATTTAAAGCCTCATTATCCAGGTTAGAAAAGTGACATTGCTCAGTGGGTGGTGGCTCATGTCATACAGGTTGGTAAACACTAAGGGTAGGAGTGTTCAACCTGGTGTCCTGATTGAACTCCACCCTGATCTTCCACAGTCTGACCTCCTTGTAGTTTCCCTTCCTTCACCTGGTGCTGTCTCCCAGGTGGGGCTGCTGGTGTAGAATGGCCACTGTGTGTCTCCCAGGTGGGGCTGCACTTCATTGGGGTGGGGTGAAATTGTAAAGGAATTCTTTGGGAGTTAAATTCTTTTGAGTAAAAAGATCCATATAGATATGTTTCGGTAAGACCACGGAATTCTTTGGACTGATCAACAACAAACTACCTAACAGGGCAGATGAGCTGAATGGTTCTTCTCTTCTGTAACTGTTCTCTGGGCTCTACCACTGGCCCACACTGCCTCCCTCTCTCTGGGCTCTACCACTGGCCCACACTGCCTCCCTCTCTCTGGGCTCTACCCACTGGCCCACACTGCCTCCCTCTCTCTGGGCTCTACCCACTGGCCCACACTGCCTCCCTCTCTC